GGAAGAGCCAAGGAAGAATTTCAGGTTGTATATTAAGAAATGAATACAGTTCATATACAAGTCTAGGTGATTGTTTCTCACTTATCTATGTTTATTCTTTCAGGCCATCATCAGTGATCCATTTATGCTCAACAGTGTCATCTTGGTGTTTGCTAATAAACAGGATATGGTATGCCACAGCATTAGTTTCTGATCCATATATTGCATGAATGATCTCAATTTCATGATTTCAATGAACATAAGAATGTGGATGTTGGTGGCCAACATAAGATTCTCTCACTGGTTAGTCTCCAAATTACAGGACAAGACAGGGAATTATTGCCGTTTCTAGTTTGCTGTTGTGATGACTTACATTTTGGGTTAGGAATTTGGAACTTAGGATATCTGGATTTATGGGATGTAATGAGATGTAACGCTTGAATTATGAGATCCAAACAGAATGCTTAAATTACATTTTCATTCCTCCATGTGAAGTAAGAACGGGAGTAATCCATAATAGGAATTCAACTCCTTATTTTGATTCCGATTACGGATTAGTAAACACGCCATAAATGGTCATAAGATGTCAGATATTGCGGCACAGGGCTGTTGACTGGTGTCTTTAAGGAAAAATAAAGTATTTGTATTCCATCTAAGTACTGTTTAGTCTTTTTCATTTGCTTTTGGAGCTGGCCATATTCTTTTGGTTACAATGGGAATTGATCCTAGGAACCCCTCATTCGATCCTACCCATGCCACTTGAGCTAAGACTCATTGGTGATAACTTTATTGATCCCCTATCAGATCTCATGGCTTATTTCTTATGGGAAAGTTTTATTCATTCCAAGTACCCAGCATACGCATGATTGTGCAAAGTTGGTTCCTTAGCAACTTGGTGTGATTTATTTATCAGCCGCCAATATAACTTGGTGTGATTTGTGTTTTCTCTTTTTCCGATCCAGAAAGGAGCTATGTCGCCAATGGAAGTATGTGAAGGACTAGGCCTCTTTGATCTCAAGAACAGAAAATGGCACATACAAGGGACTTGTGCCCTTAAAGGTGATGGCCTTTATGAGGGCTTGGATTGGTTAGCTAACACACTGAAAGAGATGAGAGCTGCTGGATACTCTTCAGTGGGCACCTCATCATTCTAATACTCGAGGTTGAGACTTTTTACCTGCTTATGTCTTACCAACTAAATGGCAGGCCGTTTAATTATGTTTGTTCTCTGTCTCTTCTGCAGGTTTATTAGGATTCTTGGGGCTGGTCATTTGATAATGCTGAAGAGTTGGTTATTTGTGCATCCAAATCTCCCTGGACTCTAATCAGCTTTTTCTTTTCCTTTTGGGTTTTTTCTAAAGATGGTGAAGTTTAATCAGTGCTTACTCCAAGACTTCACATTCAGACATGTCACTTAATCCAATGTATATTGAAGAACAGCAGATGAGCAGGTTGTGAAATTGATGAATATTTGCTGAAGATTATGTATGATTTGGATGTCTCTTGAAAATTTCTTTTGCGTATTTGTAGATGATTGACCCCAAGTGTATTTTAGATTTAAATCCACATGCAAGTTTCTTCTGCTCCACGGGCCACAGGTGCCCCCTTCTTGGGGTGGATTGAAAACCGTATCTAAATTTACCGATAGGGTGTTAGTTGGATTGACTAGGCCATTGGTGTGCTTCTAAATGGTGTTGTGGCACCGTGTGTGGCACCGTGTGTGTGAATTTTCCACCTCTCCTCCTAACTTTGGCAACAAAAAAACAGTATCTAAATTTTAAACTCTGTTGGCGTTGATTAGTGTTTGAAAGATTAAGCTTTAAATATATTGGATGTTTGAGAACATCTTTTTATTTTTTATGTTCACCCAAAAAAAGGTGCTGAAAAATAATAAAAAAGTTATGGTTGTATTTCTTTTGAGCCCATTTGTAGCTCATCAAGAAAATTTGAGAGAGATGAAAAAGATATGCAAAGCAGCTGAAAGGACCCAATTCCACGTGTCAGCTTTTAAGACAAGCGCAAGAGACTTATCTTTTTAACGGCTAGGCCAGCCCACGCCCACCGTGGAATTATGTAACGGCCACTTGTCTCCCTTAACGGAGAATTAGAAAGAGAGCACTTGGCTGTTGGCGGTTGGCTGACCACACATTTACAATTACTTATGCGTGTTTGTTTTTGGCGAAATATATATATATATATATATTAAGTGATTCTTCAAATAATTTTATTTGAGGGACATTTTTTAGGATCCATTAAGATTTTTTTTAATGATCCAAATTATCTATTTTTAAATCTACATTCATAGATCATCTTTGCAAAAAATTAGATAAATCGAAAACCATTTTGATATCCAATTGTGTCGTACAAAATCAATTAACACAATACTTGAAGAAAGTACTAAAATTTTAATAATTGAATTGAGTGATCAAATTAAATTTTAATAATTGAATTGAATGGTCAAATATTATTGGATTCAAGTGATTTTTTCATAAAGATGATCTTTGAATGAGTATATACAAAACAAACAATTTATATTAATAAAACACAATACGAAGTAGACCCTACAATGATGTTCCTCAAATAAACTTACTTGAGTATGAGATCTCGCTATATATGTGTGTTTTTGTTTGTCTGAATCTTTCTTTATTTTATTTTAAAAATGATAATAATTTGGTGATATTTTATATATTTTATATATTTTTTTCATTTGGCGTTCGCTCGCATTATTAAGTTAACTACCACATGATCCACAAACCAAGCCACCAAGCTCCTCATGAGCCATGACATGCCAAAGCTCCTCCACCAACACCAACACCATGTTAGCCCACAAGTTTCACCGTCTCCACCTCCGCAGCTCCCCCAAATTCCGATGTGTTTTGGACCAAATTGCACCCAACTTGGCAGTCTCATCGTCCCTCAGCTCCGTCTTCACCTCTGCCAACGTCATCGCCGTTTCAGCGGCGGCGGCTCTATACAACCGCCGTGTCACAACACCTTAGACCCCCACAACCCGG